AAAAGATCTATTAAAGTAAGATATAAGAAACACATAGCACATTTAAAATATGGAAGACCTGAAAAATTAGCAGTCGCCCATCATATTTTGCAACAAAACCATTCCATAGATCATTCATTAAGATTAGTTAGACAAGTTAACAACAACAGGCAACTAGATGCCTATGAGAGTGTAGAAATAAGTAAACACAATAATATTATGAATAACGATGACGAACCTATACCAAAGAGCATACTTTAGGTGGGTATACCTGTATGGGTGGTACACCTGGATGGTTTACCTGTATGGGATATCTATATAGCATAAACAGGATTAGCTTCGCGTTAATTTATAGTTTTAATCTTCCTCTTTGAAGGCGATCACTTGGTGATCGAAACACGTGTCGATGTGTTAAAAATAATGATTTGGTATTGGGAAAAAACTTCAGTAATATTGGATTAACGTCACTAGATGCTCATCAAATAGGGTTTCATGTTGAGCAAAACAGTGTTCAGTAAAATATTCACCAATGGAATGCAGATGAACTCACTTTCGAAGTGTTGTAATTACTCCAAACTTGAAATTTTTCAAGTTAGAACTACTTCAATCGTAACTGCAATCAATTCATAAAAAGGGGTCATAGAAACCAAAAATTTCGGACAACAAAAATCAAAAAGGGTTATGTAATGGTTTCTAAGTTGAGATTAACTCCCAACGTCAATTCGTCATCATCTCTAATATTTCATAATGAATCAAAATATATTAAAATGAGAGTCGACAACCTGAACATAAACAGTAATAAAGCAATGCCCACCAGTCATCAGTTCCATTTCTTGTAGCTTCGCCACCTGCCAGGATCTAGTAGAATAAAATTAAAAATAGGCACTTGCTACGCATAATAACGTCGACATTGTCGAAACAAAGAGAGGTTTTTAATGGTATCTAACTGAATTATTGGTCAATAAAAATGTCCGTCTGTTGAAATACTTTTGTTGTTTTTGTGATGGAATTGATTATAGGAATAAAAGTTTTATTGTTATTATTACCAATACGAATATTTTTATGGCCAGCCCGGTCTTGCCCCTGCTATTTTTTTATTCTAGTTCGTAAAAGCAGGGCGTTCTTTGATGCTCAAGTGAAACAAGGCATTAAAATGAAAATTGGTTGTTGATTAGTACCCAATTAGTGGATCTGACGATTCAGAAAGAATAAAACCCTTAAAATTATGAAGATTTTGGTGTTTATTAATGTGTAACAGGAGATTTCGGAAAATATCCTAGAAAAACAGAATGAAATATGAGTTTCAAATTATAATGTGGAACTGTGCAAATTGCCAATTACACAAAATAGGCATTCTAGGAATGACTTCTGAACTACCGTCTTCCGCCATCAACTGCGAACTTCACATGTAGTCCTCTTTTCGAATCTCGGAAATTTGATGGTACAGAAGAAAAAAAATATTACACAGATGGTTCAAAAACATCCTCTTCACCAACCCAGGAGTGATATCTCAACCTATCACATTTTGATTCATCTATGAAGAGATTGGCAACAACCAACCTGATACATGAATTTATAAAAATATTCTCGGAGAGTCAGAGATCCTTAGAAAATTTTGCCTGTCATCGAATTATTTTCTGATGATTTCCAAGACTTTTTCTTGTTATCAAATTGAATAATATTTCCCTCGTTCCGAATATCCTTCACAAATGAATCTCTTCTTGAAAGTCATGGAAGAAATATAGTATTCTACTGACGGTCGTTGAGTTAAGCATGATATTGCATTATACAAATAGTGTAATTATTTTTCATAGAATAATTATTCAATTTTGAATTGAAGGGGTTATATTTTTAGGAGTGAATAATTTTTGGGAAATGAAGTTTTTGGCTTTCTACTACTCCATCTTGGAAGATTCCCTCATCTTTTTTTTTCGGATGGATTTTCTATAAGGTTATCCAATTTGGTACTGAAGAGCCTTAGGGCAAGTGTCTTGAAGCGAAACATCGAAGTATACCAGTGAGGATGACAGTGTTCCATGTAAGTGCAATTTGTTACCATTCATTTAAAGTAGAACTCATGTGAATGATATCTGATTTTTATTCCACAACGAATGTTTGAAATACAAACTGAGTAGAGAAAAATATCTATAATTCAGTGTTCATATAGAAGTATTTCTTTCGAAAGAATTTTTTTCTTTCATGTAATTCAATGTTTATATGAAAGTAGCTGTTTCAGGAGGACTTTCTTTCAGTTTGTGTCTGAAGGTCACTTATTTGCATGATCTACACATCCATGTATAAAGTTACTTATTTTCAAATTAATTACTTCCTTCCTTTCTTTGGAAGATTCCCTCATTCTTTTTTTTGTATCAAGATGGAGTAGTAGAAAGCCAAATATTCAGTTTTATATTGGAAAAAGTGGATATATGATACGTCATTTGCTTTTTCTGATATTAAGCAACTATTATATTAACTGCAATGTATACAATTATACTATAGCCGATTATTTTGATTCCGGTTGAAATATAAAATTTCCATCATTAAAACAATGAGCAAACATTTCCATTGTTTTTTTTTGCGAAAGAAAGTTTTTGGCTTTCTACTACTCCATCTAATACAAAAAAAAGGGATATGAAATTCGGCTTTCTATTTGATGAAAAAATTGAAAGTGCTGACCTGAAATTATGTCCTATTCAATTGAAATGGAATTTATACGGCTAGAGTTGTATCACCTAATCGTAATTTAGTAAATGTAATGAGTGTTTCGCCTTGTAAAGCTTTTCAAAATGATGCTGATGAGAATGAAAACAGAATTGTCTCAGCTCAAAACATGTAACTCAGTTTTTATATCCTTGAAAATATTTGTTTCGGTACAATTTTCCGTTTCAGTTTGTATCTGGAGAAATCTTCTGTTATGATTTATACCAACATTTTTGTCGAGACTTATTTGAAATCAACTTTCTTCTTTTCTCTTCCCATTTTTTTGTTTATTGATGAAAATATCAAAAGTCAAAAAGCTTTTTTTCTAAAAATCATCAATCTATCTTGAAATATTCCCTTTTTGGTTGAAATTTCATTGTATTTCCGATATGTGACGAAATTTCATTTCCTGCATACTCTTCTCAATTCATAAAATATATCCATTAACAAAAAATCATCTCAAAATCAATCTTCTGACATTACCGATTGAAAAATGGATTGCTGCAACAGAATAACTGACTTCTGATTAATTCACCTGATATTTTTACTGATGAAGTTGTTATACTTTTCAACAGATGGCGTGAGTTCATCATTATTTGTTCATTTTGTACTCCAGACCACTTTGAATTGACATTGTTTCAACTCAATATGGTCTAGTTTGTCGCAACTGATTTCGCTTTGGATTGTTCCCCAAATTTAATTGATATTCATACGAGTAATTTGATCAAAACAAACTTGTTTTCACTTTAATTATTCATTTCTCTGTTCAGTCCACCACGATCTTATTTTGTGACGCCTGAGCTTCTTCAAAATCATCTTATGTCATTTTTCATCTACTATTTCATTGTTCTACAGATGCAATATTCAATTTTTGGTCCATCTTGCAATTCTTGAATCATATCAATCGAAAGATCAATTCAGTTATCTTCTCCATCCTCAGTATCAGAAACTATATCTCGAGAGGTTTTTTGTATTTTAGGTTATTTGAAGCAGTTTGAAAGTCATTTATTGGAAAATACAATTCTTGAGTTCACTGAATATTTGGAAACAGTATTATAGTGCTGAAAATCTTAGGATTATAATTAAAACCATGGGAACTTGTCGTTGTAAGCATTAGGAAACAGTTATCTTTCGAGCAATGAATAAGAAATCTTGTAAAATAAAATATGACGTCTTCAAATGCTTGTCTGTTTCTTGTAGTTTACGCAATAAACTTAAGAAATGTATGAGATTGTAAAAGTATTTTTCAAAAACAGTTTACTATCATTTCCTCATCATTTGATGAGGTACTACCATATGAGATGTTTCCAAAGCTGTTTATTTCCACTATATATTACAATTAATATGGTTTATTTAATGAATATCTCAAAAAAATATCTGTTTACTGTTTTAGAACCAGTAGATTTATTTTTCAGACCTGTATTTTGTGAATGAAAATTCGTGGAATAAAATTTTAATGTGGTTCCCAACATTTTATTTATAAATACATATTTTATTTCTATGGTTTCATCAGCGAATTATTTGCAGTTCCTCATAAAGATACAAAGTAGAATTTGACTATGGACAATGTACCTCCCTAACTGACATATCAAATATTACACTGAATATTCAAAAAAAAATTCAAATTCTCAAAATATTGATTGTGATACTTCAGTATTTTCATAAATGGCAAATTTTTGATGAATTCATTTGAAGAAAAGGTCAGGATATAATTGAAATATGGTTTTCGGACAAATTTTCAAATCATCATTTTTAATTAAAGTTATCAATTGTTTCCACGAATAAAATGCATTTATATCGGTTATTGATAATCTGATAGTTTAATTAGTTTCAGATCAGTCATAGAATCGATATAGAGACTTGATATTTGTTATTTCTATACAATGAGCTTTGTCAGAATTAAAAAGAAAATTTGTGCATCAACGAATTTTTTGTTCATGTAACATCCCTTCATTCCTGATGAATTCGAAAAATAGTTTGTGATAAAATTTTTTTAATATGTTCTTTTTTTATTTTTCATACCCTATTGTTGTTTTGACAAGTTTATTGGAATATATTTGAATGATTCATTGGTTTATGTCCAAATCTTGATGAATTTCTCATGGCCCTATTCTATAAATATCTTGCCCCAAAAAGGACCAGCCCCTTTATATAGAATATATATTGAAGTGTATTTTATAATGGTCCAATGGTCAATATATAAGAGCATCTTCCACAATTTCCATCCACAGATTGAATTTTCATATTTTTACCTATCAACATTCTTTCAATTCATATAAATTTGTGAAGTGTGTCAACCCAGGAATATAAATGAAACACAATTTTCAATATAGTCTCTGTTAATATTTTAATCAAGACAATCATAATGATAATATTCTTCTATACATTGATATATTTACAAACAGATAAAATAATTTACAGCTTCAGGCAGCTCGCCAACAAAAATATGTTAGTTAATAATAGAATCTTACAAATCCATGATATGGTACTCTTTATACACAACAATTGTCTAGTTATTCAAAAAGAACATAACAATAAAAGTAGGTGAAACCTGAAAATACAACTAACTTGTGACGGTACACAACAATTTGCAAACAGAGGTGCGAGTAATTTCTAGTTCCAGAAACTACCTCTAAGAAAAGGTGGTTCGTAACTTCCGAATGCGCCCAATTCGGAAACCAGAAATCATCTTCGGATTGCGGATCCAAAAATTTTTCGTTCTACCAGAAACAAAGTCCCACTGCCAGAAAATCCTTTTGTTCTTTATCACAGATATAAATAAATGCATTTACACAAATGTACAACAGACTGCTTCAAGTGTTCATCACTCACTGTATACTTGTTTCGTTTGCACTTTGCCCGTAATTTGTTGACTTCGGAAACTCGTTCGCCATGTCTGAAACAAAAAAAATATGAAATCAGTATTGCTTCTATTCTATTTTGATGTCTTTGTTCTATCAGAATATTGTAGGAGTAAATAACAGTATTTTTTTTTGTCAGCGACCGAAACTAGTCTCAAATTTCACACAGAATTTGAATTTGCCGCCATTTGTTCATTTAAATACTGCCAACGATATAGCAACTTGGAAGCTGACAGTTTAGGGTTAGTTATACAAGAGTGCTTTTACTTTTGGATAATATTGGGAAAATAACGTGTTTGGCGGTAACAGTAAACAAACTTTCTTCAGAATATGGGTGTAATATTGACATTATGAACACAGTAATCAAAAATATGTGAGATTCAATGAAACTGCATTTTCATAGCTACAAATTGGGTTTGTGCGATAATTCGATTATTGAATAATAAGGAACAAGCATGTACTTTTTATACATTCAATCAACTAAAGTGGTTTTTCGTAATTTCAAACAGTGGCAACAAGTATCTAATCTGCGCAAAATATCAGAATTTGAACACAATTTGACCTTGAATTTAAATCATTTTTCTACAACGATATCTCCACTATTGGTTATCTTATGAGTATTCAGAAAAAATGTTCATTAATAATAATGAAATCCAATGCAATTATGATGAATTATCAGTAATGATAATGAAGTACTTCAGATTTGTACCTATTGATCAACAATACTAATAGAAACAATCCCTGAAAAGTATTGGAAAATCAAATATTGACAATCATGAAAAATTGGAACTAATAGAAGTAACGATGGTCGCAGATCAGAAAATTCACCATTTTCTATTCTGAATTTTGAGAAAATTATTGATCTATTTGAAATTTCAAGCAGTTTCGGCAACATTTTTAGGGAACATGTACTTGTTGAAATAAATATATTGCAAAAATGAGACATATCAATCTTCTATTGCCCCCTTAAATTCCATGGTTTGACACCATTGGATATCTTTCTAGGCATGGCAGAAAAAAATTCGACGAAATTCAGAGATATTTGAACGAAAAAAATGGGGAATTCATTTGCCTGAAACGTTATTTCATGAAAAAGCGTCACACATTTTTCACAAATTAATAATAAAGAAATGAAACTTCAAAAAACTTGGTTTTCTATTCAGCTTGAATTGTTCCTACTTATATTTTGGAGTATTCAATAACCTGTTAGAATAGGTAAATGATCTGAAAACTTTCACCACAACATAAAATTCATTAAAATCAGAATATTTTGGATACTAGAAACAAATCGTTACGATGTTTATGTTCATAAATAGGTGCAAACTATCTTTATGATAACATATATTTCCAACTTCTTATTCATTGTTGATGAAATTGATTTCAGTACTATAATTCATCTTACACAACATCTTGAACTGTCAACTTATCACAACCAAAAGTTACTGCAGTTTTCTTGAAATAATTACCTGAGAACAGAAGTTTCATCTGATTTTTAACAAAATTTAAAAGAAGAACGATGATAAATTTGTCATTAGAACAAATTTTTGATTGAAAGAACGTTCACTAGTGAAATAATAAGAACAAAATCGTTTTCTGAGAACAAACATTTCAGATGAACTATTCTCAACATTGCAAAGTTGCTTGAACCTTCAGTACATTAAAAAATAATCATACGGGCCTAAAATATAATTGAATACATCAGTATGAAAAGCTTTCTCTTTTTTTCAATAATTGACAATAAAATTATCATATCAATTCAACAACAATTTCAAAGAGTGTTAACATAAACCATGGTTTCAGAAAATGAATCCTTATGATGGATCTAACAAAAAATTGGGAACCTGAATATTATTGAACCCTCTATAAACGAATATGCAAAATTCTTGAACAATTTTCAATACAAAACAAAACATAACATACAAATAGCCACATATTCCCTACCCAAATATTTGTCACCAGCCATTATACATAAGCTCAAAGTATCTCAATTAAACATTTCAACAGTCAAATGTTATATCAATAAACGATTTCCTGCAGTTTCTCATCTGTTGTTTAGATGTAACCAATTCAACAACTAATTTTGTGTCTACCCTTATCTTCTTACATCTCTTCAACCGAATCTTTTTCTAATTCAAAATAAATATCCACTTCACTTAATTGAAAATCAACTGAGCTACAAACAAATGATCATATCAAGAAAACTCGACCCATTCCAATCACCATCAATATTACAATGCCCGAAACTAACATCCATCTCGACGTTTCACCGTTAAGCAATTTCAAAAACAATTGAAGAAGTTATTATGTCAGATCGGGTTAACCAGCAACAGTTATGAAACTAATTGAAAGGGAGAGATAACTGCCTGGGAGGGAGAAGAAAGCATAGGCCCATTATGGGTCAGATAGATGCCTACCGGAGTAGAAAGGGTGTGTGGAAAGTTTATCGATTTGAAACAATGGATTCTCAACTGGCATGTTGAGTCGATTGAGTGTCCATGAATTTGTGAGATACGAGGTTTGGGAATTATTTATTGTACATATGTATTGGAGGCTAATGAGCAGATAATTGTTGGTTCACAGATCGATCAAAAACACCTTCAGGTTCTGGTGCAGGTGTTTTCATTTGCAGCTCCAGGATAGAGATGTCAACCTTCCTAGGGACCTATGAGACTGTTTTTCTAGCGGAAATCTATGCTATTGAATTATGTGCAGAAAGATTGGTAGAATTCAACCTCACACACAAGTGAATACAAATTTTTTCGGCCCAAAAACGGGTTGAGGTGAAGGGTCCAATAGGATCACTCACTTATGGCCTAACCTAATTCAATCTAGAATCCACAGTCTTGAAGACCGAAAGAAAGGCAAACTGTAGGACTACCAAAAAAAAATCGACCATAGTAGCGGTCAAGATAAAGAGGTCAGAGCCTTCAATGCTCTTTCTAACGGATGTGGTAGAATATCTGTGAGTAAAACTAGACCCATGATGATCTAGAGCTGATATATTTCTCTTCTGCTGAAGATTTCCTTCAAGTCTCTAGAAAGTATAGCAGCCTCAAGGACGAATGGCGTTTTTCTCCATCTCTGAATGACACAATTGTTAAAGAATTGCTAACCTCCTATGGTCCAGTGTATGAAACATGACGAACTGTACCTTTATGGCATTGTCTGCAGCACTCTTCTTTGTTGTACAACTGTTGTTACACAATGAATCACTTTATACCAGTTGATGATTGGAAAGCGATACCTTGATACAATAAGTCCTACATGCAACTTCTTTGAGACCCAAAAAGTTTAAAATAATAACATCAGAGAGTTGAGTTGTACTTTCCTCTGGTAGAACAGTTTATCAAGTCCGATTAGACTGTCCCCTTAAATTACTTTTGTATGATTCCAGGTCATCCAAAATCAATAAACTGCAGGACTGGCATCCTGCACACTACCTTGATTCTATGCAGTGAAAATCTTAATGTTAATGACACTGCTGTGTTTGAAATCAACTTCAATTGTGTCAGTTTGTTGACGAGTTTCCAGGAAACTCATTTCGGTGCAACTTAGAGGTGGCCTTCAGTTTGGCATTCACGAAATATGATACCAAATATTATTACTCAAGCTAACTGCATGCAGTAACGTGGAAACAGTCCCGACTGCGCCCAGCAAGCTGTGCTGTAAGCGTTATTAAGCCACTCCAAAAAACTTCGATTCAATTGGAGACACAAGGATCATTTAGTGACCATAATTACTGCGGGAGACAGGTATACGCGTATACCGCTGACTTAGTGAGCAGGCTATGGAGCCAGGACCGCACGAGGGACATTCACTGATCAGTATCTCGCTTCATTTGTCAATGTCACAGAGGTGGCGATAGTGACTGCAGGGCATTCTTCATTCACTACACCCGAGCGTGGGCAACGAGACGAGGACAGCGTTGCCAAATCTGTTATTTATCGGAGTTCAGAGGTTATGTTTTTACAGAGAAAGAATAAAATTCGGAAAACAATGGAACTTGGTGAAATTGTGTTTTCCTAAATGATTGAAGAGAGAAGGCTTATACTGTTTGAATGATGAATTAATACCAAACGGATGTAGAGAAAAATATCCCAATTTTTTCTTATTCATCGCTGTGGAAAGTTGTTATCGAACCGAATCTCCATAATATCTGCAGAATATGTCATCTAACTGTTGAAATGGGTTTTTCCTCACCTTTAGAAAAAATTTGTTGATGACTGCTTCTGGATTGTCATTAAGGGCATAACCCTAGCCAGTTGTAACGGAAAGTTGAACAGACCTACCTACTCACTTTGATCCTAACCTAACCATTAGCAAGAAAGTCCCTCGGGATGTCCAAAATCCTTTCTGAGATTTTGTAGATAGAAACCGATTATATAGTTAGTCAGTGTATTACACTAAACAATTACTTTCTGAAAATCAGCCCTATGCAGTGTTCAATGAAATGTGGATACCAGGTTCAAGAGAATATGAAAACTATGTTTAATATCGACGTTATATTTGCTTTTATTTAAATTTCAACCGATTGAGTCAATCCTTATACTATGCATCGTAGATTCATAAAAAAATTATGTTAACATTTCGTTCCGTTTTTAGATTTGGTCCCCTTTTCAATGAATTGGTAATCTAAATGAAGTATTTGATTATTTTGAAGATCAAGTATATGTTATCATGATCACGAAAAGAATGCATCTCTGATAGATCGCATGTAATTCATGGTTCTGGAGAAATATGATGAACTAGAAGTTTTTTGATAGATCCATCAGTGGAAAATAGTTTATAATACACATTTAGGTAAAACAATGGAGAAAATAATAATATGTGAGACATAGACATAGAAATAATGAATTTTTGAATTCGATAAACATTGTTGATAATGATCATCATCTTTTGAATTGAAAAAAAAATGATGACGACAAAATCTTCATTTCAGATCGATTTATTCCATCGGAAATGTACACCTACTTTTCTGGGAACTTGCATCAACAAAAGAGTTGCATGTTCTCATAGGAAGATTCCAAAAACCCCAAAAGAAAAAAAAATGTTTAGTAAAACTTATATCGAAAAAAACTGAGTTGAATAATGAAATTAAAAGTACTTATGAATATTATCAACTTTGTTTTTACCCAGATTCGAGTGCCAAAAAGGTACGAAAACAGTTTTTGAAAATATTCAACATGAATTTCAGATTGACTGATAAATACGTTTCCAACCAGTTCAACGTTCCACGGTTGCCAAATATTAATTTTCGTTTAGGAAAAACAAAATTTTGAAAATAAACTTCAGGTCCCCAATTCTATTGGTTTAATAATTGTCAACATTATCGAGAAATAATGAATCTCAATTGGAATAATAGAAATAAATTACAGTATCCATAAGAGGATAGGATTTGCACATATAGTTTGGAATATTTGTATTCTAATCTGTTTTATATTTCAGATCAGTACAATTTTCATATTTATTATTATTATTGCTGAAATATAATGTTTGACTGTACTGATATAATTTCCAGAGAATGTAGTTTCCCCGCATTTTCGTGTGAATTTCGTTGATGAAATGAATTAAACTGATTTCGGAGCATTTCTCAAGAAAACCGTGAAATGTGGCAACGCTGAACGAACACTCACCTAGCTCATGAGTCGACGACGTCCAACAGGGAGCGGCTCAAACCGGCGACACAAACCCTCCGTTCATGCTTTGGGAGCTGAAAACAAAAAAAATCAATTAGAATACTGAGCAGATAAGGTGGTCCAATTTAATTGTGGGAAGATTCTAAATGGTCGAGTATTTCCTGTCAGAAGGAGGTTTTTGCGTGGGGTGAACAAGACGAGATGGTTTCGGTAATTAAGGAATATCGCCACAAAAATGGCACTTGAGGGTGGTGAGAGTTGGTATGAATTATTTACTTCAATGTCAAATATTGTTTTCAAATATCTATTGAACTTCATGGTATATGTTGAGCTAAGGGAACCAAGGAATATGTGAAAATGGCTAACAAAAAAATTGTCAATGTATGTAAATCAGTCAAGTCGAACAAGGAATGGACAGTCGAAAATGTTTTTCTCAAACCCTCAAATGGCTATGGGGATCAACGAGGTCTTGCTTTCCAACCTGCGAATTTTAGCACAATCATCTGCCGAAATATTAAGTTTGTCCTCCAATCCCATCTCTGTTTACTGAGGGCCCAAATATTCTAGTTTGTTTCTACGAAATGTCTGGGATTCTAAAATTTTGTGCCGTACCAGATATTTCAAATGATATTTTTGTGTAACATAATTTGAAATCATGAGAAAGAAATACTCCAAACGTATTTTAGAAACATCCTGCAAAAAATACAAGCATTTGCAAATATATCATCCTTGCTCAAATACCTATTGGCATTCAATATCGGTCGTGGTAATAGAAAAGTAGTTTTTTCTATTTGTCTGTCACTCACTAACTGCTACTATGTTGGATAGCTGAGAGAGCCAGTTTTTGTTCGAATTAGAAAACGATTCTTCCCATTGGAATTTTCAACTGTCACATGAATCAGTCACAATTTCATCATGCTCAAAATGATTAGGGATATCTTTTTGAGAACGACACAAATCAAAACTTGCGACCTTTATGAAGCCTCGTTCAACAAGGACTCGTTCCTCCATAAAACATGAAGTCGAATACGACGTGGATTCCGAAATTCAATACCTACAATAATTGGAATAAAACCGAAAAATTCAGCTCTGATAAGATCTTTGGCAAGTATGCTTGTGCGAGTCGCCATAGTGAAAAATATGCTGTCAAGTGTCGATATGAATATGTAAATCCACTTTTATCTAAATCGATCTCGGCCAGCTTTTAGGAGTATGAATAAAACATGCTCCGGCAATTCTTTATGGACTAAATAGGTATTTCGAAAACTTACGAAACGATGGGGAAATTTATCGAATTCTTTCGGCAATTTGTTCACATAATGGAAGAAAAGTTTCGTACTACCTAATTGGACCAGAAGTAAATTAAGCCGGACTAATGAGTACTGTCAACTAGGAAACAATAATTTTCAATCAAAGCGATTGGGTGCGCTAGTGACATACTTATTAAAATACTTTGGAAACGCAAAAATTCCTAAGTGGTTCCTAATGGGACAGGTTTATATTGAATGAGTGTACTCATTGCTACTTTATTCCACAAGGAGCCGCCTCAGGGACATTATTATATATTACTCAACAGCGTATTCGTTCTGTGAGTAACACATTTATTTATCCCTTGGAAGATGAACTATATGACATATCAATTGTATGCAAACGGACGTGTGAACTGTGATAGTTGCAAAAGTAGCAAACTCTCACTTCACTAGATTCCCACCTTCCTAGGGAATACAAATGAAAGTACCTGACTCAGCAGTCACCTTAGAAAAAAGGCATACGTTTCTAAATGGTTTCATTTTTGTTTACAGGCGAGCCAAACAATATTTTTTCCCAGTTCCACCATCCAGAAAAATCCACCTTTGACTGAATTCACTTATCTTGCTCATGTTTCTGTTCATTGCTCAATTTTTATTGTATTCCTAAACTTTCTTGTGGAGGAACACGATCATTTGAGTGGGTAGTATGAAGAGATAGAAGCTTATGAAGCTGTAATATTTTTTTCAGAGAACTGACAGAAATGGACAATTCAAATGGTTTCCACGTAGCAAAAGTTTAATGCATTACAGCACAGTGTTTCTAGAAGAGTTCCAGAAGGAAAAATCACCTGTCAATATTCCCCAAAAAGTTTGCATCTTTTTCAAATTATTTGAAATGTCTCATCGTTTTCCAACTGTAGCCTACATCTGTCAGAGGACTGTCAAAGAACTGTCAAAAGACTGTAAAAAACGTTCAAAGGACTGTCAAATAACTGTCAAAAGACTGTCAAAAAACTGTCAAAGGACTGTCGAAGACCTGTCAAAAAACTGCTTCCAAGTAGCGAAAGTTTCATCCATTACAGCAAAGATTTCCTAGAAGTGATCGCTTCAGTTAATATCTTCGCTAGGTAGCCAAACCAAAGCATTTGACAGATGTGAATGTCATTTTTCCGTCCATGGACTGGGAAAAGTTCATGTGGGTTTTTACAATGTGTATGTGATCTGCCATTGATGTTAATTTAAAATAGACTTCGTCTGATGAACAGTTTTGCATGCCCTCGCTCCAATTAGAAGTTTAAGATGGAGTTACTTCCAGAATGATACCATATTTGAGTTTGTGGAAGTTTTTCTCGTAGCTCCTCATACTCGAGCAAGTCAATTTTTTTAATCTTTCCAAAGAAAGCAATGATGTGGTTTTTTATATTGATCATCACTGCGTCATCTTCGGGGTGACGTTTTTCCATCATTACGATTTTTTTCTTGGATATTTCCAGAAATTTGGCACATAATTTTTTCGAGTCACTCATATCATGAAATGAGATGGTAGGAATCTGCTTTAAGGAAATTTTTCCATAACTCTCACTACTTAGGAGCAACTACAGTTAGCTTATGCTTGATAATATTAGTTCATCTACCTACAAGCCATGAAAACTTTTGATTGTTATTTATGAAAGCGAAATATTCAAGGTAACGTTACTGCAAACGTTTCATACAAAAAAAAGTGGTGAAAAACATAGAAATTTTCCTTTCTCTTCAAATATTTATGGTCTTTTGGTCTTCAAAAAAGACATTTCATTCTCGGATCATTTTTTGAATTGCTAAAAAATCAGTATATTATAGAATATTTTCCCTTTGTTAAAAATGTTTTTAATGTCGAAATTCTGCCGCTCGTGATCGGCAGTTGGTTGGCAAATCGTCAATCAAACTTATAAATGAAGTTTCTGGAATGGGAACTTCATTATATTCGACTTGATATGGAAAAATATAGCCTCATGTTTCAATTATGAGGAAGACAATTCAATTGTCCCACCACACAGCTTTCTGACAGAAGTCTCGACTCTGAAAGACTTTCAATAATTGTCAGCGTACTCACCTTTTATAAAAAGGCTTGAAGGCGGCATTGTCTTGCGTGGGGGCGGGCATCTGACTCGACTGTTGACCTTGTATTCTCTGCGGTGACTGAATCCTTCCGAATCCCCCCAAAAACCCAGCCTGTCCATAACCACCATTTCCCGAAGAAGACCCTATGCAGGGTCCTTGTCCAGGGATCAGGTTACCAGCCACACTGGGAAGCTTCATATTCGGGGGGGTCTGTGGGGGCGTATCAGTCTGAACATCGGGAAACCCCTGCTGACAGTGGCTGGGAAGGAATCCACTCCCGCTGTATCGGGAACTGGGGAGGGCGAATCCATTTCCCCCCAACCATTGCTGCTGGGAGGACGGAGGGGGTGGAGGGGTCTTGCAAGCAGCGGTATCCGCCAGGGACCAGATTTTGGGTTTGGATGGGGGCAGCGGAATCCCGCAGTCTGAAGATTTCACTTCGGACTTCAGGCCGAAACCGTTGCCAAGGATGTGGTGCATGTTTCCTCCCAGAATGTCGTCCTTTCGGTCCTCGTCGGTCATATCATCGTCGTCTAAGTCCTTACCGTTCCGTTCCGATTTTATACGGCCGTGGATGTCTGGAAAGAAAGAAAAAGGGACACTGAGTTAATTTGTGGTAATTGGTAGAAAGATATTGATTTTCTGAATTTGAGAGCATTACATCCAGCAAACAAGTATCACACTTGAGTTGATGGACATTGAAGATGGGTTATCTTGATGAAGATATCTTTGAAGAGGTTTTATTGGCCATACTAATTTTTTTTCTTTGAAAGACTCCCATCTTTCATTAATCAGTTGTGAAGCAGAATGACGAAAAGCTGTTTTGTAAAAATTACCTATTCTCCTGTATTTTAATTGGTTGCAGTGTATTGAATATGCAAAGGTTTCGGCTTCCAAGGAAAAATAACTGTATAGGAACTGTTCAAAAGTAACATAATGTTTTCAAAACAGTCACTTTTATCTCGAATAATTGGCATAATTACAAGTAAAACGTCAAAAACAACTCCAAAGTATTTAAAATGTTGATTGCATACGAAAATAATCATTCAAGTTGTTTATAAGACTGACAGACATGTTGACAAGTATTTGGTTTTATTTTTAATAACATCCGTGGCTATTATTGGACATGCAAAAATTAGCGATAAGCAAATTTCACATTGAACCACATATACCGTTAAGTCTGCATGTCTGAAGACGTCTCCTTTTTTATTCAACGACAATTATAAACGTTCAGGGTTTCCTTTCCGGTCTCCATTCCGTTGGGGTAAATTGAGGATAATGGAAATCAAAGAGCGTATCCCTATGACGTAATTAAGGTTCATAATAGGGGTGGATGATGGAAGCATTTTCAGAGGGGAATAGTGGATCGGATCAGAGAGCATTAGGAGAAAGCAGTCTCTTATTTTATAGTCGATTGACTTGATGTTTATTGCCGTTTAACTCGATTTTATCCAAACAAAATAACAGAAGTAACGGCTGGTGTTTGGAAGAGAAGAGTTTTCTTATGATTTTGAAGGCACATTGAGAAAGTTCTTGCAAAGAATTCAATATAATCAATATGAGTTTCAATTTGAAATTTGTTATATAACAGCATGAGAATTTGATGGTTATCGCCTCAAAAACATTGTGATAAGTGCAAAAAACTCTCTCAGATTTTTGGTATCTGATTTTCTTTATAGAGTTTCCAAAAGTGGAAAAAATATGTTGTTCTTTGAGTCACAATTTCTCAAATGAACTATTTACATATTTTTCTGTCAAAAATGCAGCTGTATTCAGCTGCATTTCCAAACATTTCATTTAGTGAGATGCAAAGGCAAATATGAAATTAAGCACAAGCTCAGTATATTAGTTCATATATTATGATTTCAGAACGATAAAACACATATTAGCCTCATATTATGCAAATATTTTGCATTATTATTCAATATCAATGAGAAATGTATGTTTCACAGAATGAATCAGTGACAAATGAATAGTTTTGGGAGGTTTTCTCATGTTATAATCAAACTATATCTTCATTTCTCATAATTATTCAAAGTTTACGACTATGCTACTTCTGAAAAAACCTCAAAACGAAAGAAATATGAAATATTTCATTTCACTATTTTGAGTTTGTATGAATGTCTCCAAAAACCATAAAAAGCACCAAAATCGTCTAGAGCTTGAAATTTGATTTGATATTGGACACATGTAGAAACAATTCATTCATAACTATGTGAGAAATTATGAAAAGAGACAAATGATTTGTGTATGTAATTTCGTCAAGATGTATTTCATCAGTTCGGACTTTCATTGTCTACTATAATATAAATTGATTTGAAATTCCTGAAAAAAATAAAAAGATTAACCGAAAATAATAATTTCATCAAAACAAAAATTTATATTAGTAAATGGAAGTCCTAACTGATGAAATACACCACGAAACATTGTCAACCACCTTCAAACAAGAATCTTGTCAAGAGTTGGATTTATGAATATGAAACAAACATCGATATATAAAAAAAAATTAAGAAAACATGTTTGAAGCATCGGTAATGATATTTTCGAAAACGAATCCAGCAATAATTTAGAATACCAAAAACATGATAATGAACTCATATTTTACAGACTTTTTGACCAGTTACAATCACTGAAATGTATGTTTAAATCAAAAATACTTCTTTGTCAAGCAATCAATCGTGAATTCCTGAAAATAAAAATACTTGTAAACAATTAACTGGGTAATATATCGAGCTGGATATTCTACTTGTCAAATTAATCAATTCAAATGGTGGTCTCAGAAATTTATGGCCAACATACTTCCAAACAATAAAATCTAGTGGGAGAAAATTCTCTAGAAATAGGTTGACTTCCAACATGTGCACAATAATAAATTTATAAATCAACTCCCGCGACAGTGGAATCCAATCAAAATATTTGTAAGGTATCATCTGGATGACGCGGATTACAGACATATGAAACTTAGCGTGACAATAGTTGGAATTCAAAGTAATCTTGTAAACGAGTCCAGGACTCGATGTACTTACATATTTAATTTCAAAGCCAGTCATTTGTGGGTTACAACTGTCAGTTGCAACTGATTACATTATCACAGGTTTTCTGACCCATTTTTACAAATGGATAGTTGAACATAATGGAGGGACTTGCTAGTCGATAGTTTCTCTTCGGGATTTTGTTATTACAACCGACAATTCGAAAATTGTCGTGTTTTCTTAGTGGCATAGAATTTGTCTTCAAAATTCCCAGTTTACTAGCAATTCAATAAAGTTAGTTTTTGTAAGTTTTTGCAAATATAAAAGTTAGGTTTCATATTCATTAGCAACAAAATAAGTGGTTCACATTTGTAAGTGTTTCTAACATTGTTTTATATATCAATCCGATATCAGATACCGGACTCCTAGATTAGATTCTCGGGGGAGCTGGCCCATGACCTGATTCACAGCGACTTTTTCTGATCTATTGTGATGCTCCTTGGTTGTTACAGCTCCTTGCCTAGCTTGATCTCTTTGATGAGCTTGCATCCATGAATTTATGGATGTCTTTTTACTTGCTTTCGCTACCTCGAACCCAGACTCTTACAAAACAAACACTTTTAGAAGCTTTTCAGATGAAGTCTTCAACGAACTCGAAGAAGTTTAGTTGATGGAAACCAACGGACACAGCACCTACTCCAGAATGAAAAAGTTCTAACATTGTTTTATATATCAATCCGATATCAGATACCGGACTCCTAGATTAGATTCTCGGGGAGCTGGCCCATGACCTGATTCACAGCGACTTTTTCTGATCTATTGTGATGCTCCTTGGTTGTTAGAGCTCATTACCTAGCTTGATCTCTTTGATGAGCTTGCATCCATGAATTTATGGATGTCTTTATACTTGCTTTCGCTACCACGAACCCAGACTCTTACAAAACAAACACTTTTAGAAGCTTTTCAGATGAAGTCTTCAACGAGCTCGAAGAAGTTTAGTTGATGGAAACCAACAGACACAGCCCCTACTCCAGAATGAAAAAGTTGAGGAAGAAAGTAACAATCCACAGTAGAAGGAAATTGAAAAAATGCAATTTAAAAAAAAATGTGGAAGAAGAATCAAGATACCAGGTCGTTATAAATTCTGCAGCTTCGGGAGAAATATGATGAAAGTGAAATTTTCAAGTTGTTATTCATCAGTGTTATTGCTTTTCGGGTTTGAAAGCAGTGGATTTTTGGAATTTCTTCCCTTATTCATGTTTTCTATACGAAGGCGGATCTTCCGAAAGGGACTTAGCCTCAGTCACTGTCAACGGCGAACACTGATTTTTTTGTTATTTATGAATGATCTCTCCGAACATGTGAAAGATGGAAAGATTTACTTGTTCGCAGATGTTTCCTCAATTTTGATATCTGGCCCTAACAGAGGTGAACTGGTAGCTAAAACAAGAAACGTAATAACTCAATTCGACCAGTTTTGTCAGAAAAACAATTCGATAATAAACTAGTCGGAGACTGTTGCTATTCAATTCCATATATCGACTACGGGCAGAGCCATCGATGAAAACGTGGATATAAATAGTTCATCAATCACATTTCAAAGTATCTCCAAGTTTCTGGGTACAATCGTCAACGAAAACCTCAAATGGGACAAATGCGTTGGCTCACTATGTTCCACCTTGAATAAGGACTTCTTTGCGTTGAAAAATTTAAAAGGTTGCTTAAATGAAGAAGGTCTCATGAGAGTTTACTATGTATCGGTAGGTTTATTCTTCTATTAGTCTCAATATGGTCCCGCTACTGACAGCAGCAGAGAATATTAACATTCACGAGTAACTATCTGTATGAATTATCAATATTTGTCTACATTCATAAAAACCATTTTATTACAAATGCGGATGTCAGCCACTACACAACCCGTCAAAGAAACCAATTCAGATTGGGAATTGTCAACTTCTCGACCTATAAAAATCCCCAAAATATGCTGCGGCAAACTTTTTCAACAGTCTACATGATGACTTGAAGAATCATCCAAACCTGTTCAGATTCAAAACAAAATTGAAATGTAATCTGTTGTCTAGGGCATTTTTTTACTTTCAGTGTTTCTTGATTTGAAAATGTGTTTTATTGCTTTATTATTTTAACATTGTTCTGTATTTGACTTATCAATCCTATGTAAATTGGTGTATGAACAATAAATGTCTATCTATCTATCTATCTGTCTATAGGTCAATCATTACCAACTTATTTTGGACTGAATTTGATGAGCTGTACACCAACAACATGTAGTTTGATTGGAAAGATTTGGAAATAGTTTTGTGTCTTACTTTTTTCGTCTGTTTGTTCTGTTCTCATTATTTCACAAATTTTAATTTGAATGAAAAAGCATACCCCTCCTGATTTAGAGTCATTTCAAAGTCAGGTTGCAGAAATTACTTTGTAGTGAACTTTTTTCTGATTATGAAATGGACGTCATCGATAATTTTTACTTCACTTTGAAGATTCGATGAAATGAGGATTTATGAACAAAATAAATCAGTTTGATTATATTCACCTCTTTACCCATTATTCATTACATCATATCTCTTTCACTCACCTGTTTCATCCCTCTTGTCGTCATCGTCTTTATCTTTGTCGTCGCTGTCAGATATCAAAGCGTCGTCATCATCATCGGTTTTGTTCTTGGGCTCCCAAGTCATTTTGTTCTCTTTTTTGAGCCTTCGCCTAGCATTGGCGAACCACGTTGACACTTGCGTCAACGTCATCTTCGTGATGATGGCCAACATGATTTTCTCTCCTTTGGTGGGGTAGGGGTTTTTCTTGTGTTCGTTCAGCCACGCTTTCAAGGTGGCCGTTGATTCCCTCGTCGCGTTTTTGCGTCGGGCTGCGAGATCGTACCCTGCGCCATACCTGGAAAGACGAATGGGAGATGATACTACTAGCAATGCCTACTGGAGTTGTCAAAAATGTTATTAGAGCAGATAATTGTGTTTTCTGGGCAGTTATGAGCTTCTAGATGAACATGTTTGTGATCAAATCAATCTTGGTGTTGACCAAGAGTTTATTGTGAGATTTAGGATATATAGTTGAAAAAATTTAAGCATAACAAAGACAAGATTCTTATATCAGATCGATCGGAAAGCTAAAAAATGTCGTTTGGATCATATAGATCGCTGAAAGAACTGAAGCCTGCATAAGAGACAGTTTCCAGAATGGACAAATGAAGTCATCCTATGATACTTTCTTACAGAGGAAAATGAATTCAATCATGAATTCAAAACTCCAGCACAAAGTTTCTTGGCCATACTGAAGCTATCTCCTCTTTATTCGAAAGAATACCATTTTTCCTCCGATCCACTAACAAGTATAGGAGTTGATGAATTCAAAAATTCCTTAGATCTAATTGATGATTGAATTGATTTGTATAACTTGCCTCTGATTAATTTGATCTTAACAGGTAATCAAACTTAGAATAATTACTAAGTATTATCTATAGACAAAATGACGAGCTTTCGCAGGCAAGTTAACAATTTGAATTCACATTGTGTCATTATAAGGAAATTATTGAAAACAATTGATTTCGTGTTGAATTTCAATCTGTTGAGGTTACAATTATTTTCTTCAGTTGCAAATGATTCAATATAATGTTTATAAAATCTGAATTATAAGGTTTCATCTTCTCAATATCCTTGAAACATACTATACATTCAAAGTATTGCATAGCTATCAGCCAGGTTAGATTTGCAAGAAGTTTCATTTCAACATTAGAATTTTTTTCACGTATTTTTTGTACATAATCTAGACAACAAAAATATACTGAAAATGAACAGGTGTGTACCTACTCACTTCGTACTGTGTTATCAGATGTATCCAAAAACTGATTCTGCGTGAAAATATTCACTCAAGAAACATTAGACATAAAAACAAATTAACTATGCCACAACATCGCACTGCACAGTTTCAGTGATCATTTCTTTTTGGTGCTGTAAAATTCTATACAACAATTAAGGCAGAATATAAATTGTAGTTCGAAACCACCTACACAAGCCACATAAACAACAGTTGTTTTGTTATTTATTCATATAGAGGAAGATAGGTTAGGTGCACAAAATGTGATATGTCACAGAATGTCTCGGAACTCGGAACATAAGTAAACAGAACATCACGCCTATGAAATGTCATCTTTGTTTGTCTCATACAGGTAACAGATTCATTGTCCTTTATTAGTTATAACCGATGTTGCCAAATGGTGAAATAGAAACGAATCTCTTTAAATGCTGAATGCATTATTTCATTCTTTTTTTTTTAGTATTTAAATAACCTAGCAAGGTATGACGCATTTATCAAGTTAGTATCAGTATTGACGAACTTCGTCAAACATTATGTTTCTTTCTTTAAAAAATTCAATTTTCTGTTAAAAAATGCAATGGGCTTGCCAATCAAATCAGGGTGCTTAGTATTTTGGTGTCGCATCAGTAAAGAAGGCTTCATGGATTGTTTCGATAGTGTTTCAAGACATACAACACATTGAGGAATAGGAATGTCACTGGTTTCAGTCCCTGCACGTGATGATTCACATTTTATATCATCATATGAAGAAACTCGGACTGTCGGAAGACAGTGTGTGTCGTCTCTTTTTGTAAAATGATGAAACAGCAGAGCACATACTTTGTGCCTGCCCCGCTGGGGTCCGAATCAGATTTTTAGAGTTCGGTAGAGCCGTACTCTTACCATCTGAGCTGAAAAACCACTCAGCATAATACTAATCGGCTTCGTTAAGAAGCTGGGTTGATTTGGTCGAGTGTGAATAGGTGTGAGCCACAATAAACCCTTGCGGGTTGCGGTGGAGGTTCGAAAAGACCCACTCACTTCTGACCTAACCTTAGTATTCATGGAAGTTGTATTAAAATTTGTTAGTTTCGTGGAGTTTGTTCCAAACAATAGATTTTTCGAATGCCGTAATTTCCTAGATGATGTATGATGGCATCCCCAGCGTGCTTTTGTCTTTCATAAATTCCAAGGTGCCGTTGATTTCCCAGTCGCGTTTTAAAGTCTTGCAGTCAGGTCGTACCCAGCACCAAATTCGTGATCGTAAATTTCGGGTATAACGGCCGTAATCGTGTCTTTTATGAAAATGAGGTTATATTTATGTGTTTCTCTAGTTCGGTGTTTTGTAAGTGTTTTTTCGATTCTAATACATTGTTTTGGCCATACTGAAGCTATCGTCTCTTTATTCGAAAGAATACCATTTATAAGTGAACTATTGAAAACAATAGATCTCGTGTTGAATTTTTATCTATTGAGGTTCCGATTATTTCCAACCTCAAGCAGCGTTGGAAACTCTTGGCTATATTGGTTTCAAATTGCCAAAACGGCTCTCCTCGATAGAAAAACCTAATTCTGATCTGGATTCCTGGCCATACTTGCTCAGAAGTCAATGAGGCTACTGATTTCCTTGCAAAGAAGAGTGTCATTGGCATAGCTTCAATGTTTTCCAAACATTAAACACCTGGATGGCAAGAAAATTTAAGGACTTCTGGCAGAATATTCAAGTTTCGGCACCCTCCAAGGCGTTTATACACCCTTCGAAGCTTGATACAGTCGTTGGACTACAGTAGAAATGATCTACGATGTCCAACAGGCCTGCCACATGGCACTGTCATTCGAATCAGGGGTTCCCATCTTTTTTGCACCTGCGTACCACTTGAATTTTTGAGAAATATTGGCATACCACCAGACCTAGATACTGTAGTAAACGTATATTTTCCCTTCTAAAAGTCTTCAAAGGCTATTTTAATTAAAACTTCATATTTAATGCTTAGATATTTGTTAATTTATAACATGCTTATAATAAAGGAAGAATAAAAAGATTGAAATGGTTCCCCATTCTTAAACTAGCAAGGTATGACGCCTTTATCAAGTTAGTATCAGTATTGATGAACTTCGTCAAACATTGTGTTTCTTTCATTAAAAAAATTGATTTTCTGTTAAAAAATTCAATGGGCTTACCAATCAAATCAGGGTGCTTAGTATTTTGGTGTCGCATCGGTAAAGAAGGCTTCATGGATTGTTTCGATTGTGTTTCAAGACATACAAAATATTGAGAAATAGGAATGTCACTGGTTTCAGTCCCTGCACATGATGGTTTACATTTTATATCATCATATGAAGAGACTCGGACTGTCGGAAGACAGTGTGTGTCGTCTCTGTTTGGAAAATGCTGAAACAGCAGAGCACATACTTTGTGCCTGCCCCGCTGGGGTCCGAATCAGATTTTTAGAGTTCGGCAGAGCCGTACTCTTACCATCTGAGCTGAAAAACCACTCAACATAATACTAATCGGCTTCGTTAAGAAGCTGGGTTGATTTGGTCGAGTGTGAATAGGTGTGAGCCACAATAAACCCTTGCGGGTTGCGGTGGAGGGTCGAACAGACCCACTCACTTCTGACCTAACCTTAGTATTCATGGAAGTTGTATTGAAATTTGTTAGTTTCGTGGAGTTTGTTCCAAACAATAGATTCTTCGAAGGGCGTAATTTCCTAGATGATGTATGATGGCATCACCAGCGTGCTTTTGTCTTTCATAAATTCCAAGGTGCCGTTGATTTCCCAGTCGCGTTTTAAAGTCCTGCAGTCAGGTCGTACCCAGCACCAAATTCGTGATCGTAAATTTCGGGTATAACGGCCGTAATCGTGTCTTTTATGAAAATGAGGTTATATTTATGTGTTTCTCTAGTTCGGTGTTTTGTAAGTGTTTTTTCGATTCTAATACATTGTATCACGTAATTTTTGAATAATGTATTCGGAAAGTTATGCGAGTGACATAATATTTACATTAAGGGTAAGATTTTTTCGGATAGGATCGGTTCCTTATACAAGGAGTGCGGCGTTTATATTTTTTGTGCATGTGGATATTTCTAAATTGATTCAATTGTGAGATTGTGAAAACTACAGTTGTGGGAATTATGTTTCCTGAGAAAAACGGATTTGAATAAATCCACACTTACAATGGGACGCCGTATTTTCAATTCACGCATACTTTGAATATATCAGTAAACAAAAATTAATTCAAAAACATGCCGAATGCTTTCGTGAATATTATGTCAATAATCAATGTCCAATGAATATTGAAGCTGACATATAACAAAATATTTGTTGAAATGAAAACTTTGCTACCATTGCTATTTATGGTTTTTTCTTACTCTATTATTGAACAGTCTTCAAATTGAATGAAATATAAAGCCGTGGCAAATTACTAGTTTGCCAGGAATATTACTGTGGTTTTCCAAGATTATTCTGTTGCCAATACATAAAGTCATAGTTTGCAAAATGGCAACATAATAATTTCCATAAGTACCTGATAATTTTGACCATTCATACCAATCTCATTTGAATAGGCATGTGAATATAACTTTATGGGTTCTCGTTCCACTGATTTGAGTAAATAATTCCATCAGGAGAAGACATATTTGACAGAGGGGTATTATAAATTCAACAAAACTTACCCAAGTAAGTTATCTGTATTTAAATATCATTTAGGTATCAACAGAAGGTATTTATGAAACGATTATTATGTTTAATCATAAACATTTCAGCCAGCAGGGTACTCATCATATAACAGAAAAAAATAATTCAATTATAAATGGTCAGTGATCAGATTTTTCAAATTCTGAAGTGTATCGATTTCCCAACATTCCAAAAAATTATGTTTGGAACCTAGCTATTACAAACTTCATTGTATCATTTTGAAATTGTATTTTTGCGCTACCTCATTCACTTTAATTCTTCTGAAGACGGTTCTCCCAGTTTGTCCCAATATGGTATTAAAATTTTGTGAAAATTTCGTCTGAACTTAGACCGTCATTTCATATTTTCATAAACAGTTGTCTAACATTTCCCAGAGTTTTTAAA